TCCTTTTTATTTTAAACTGGGTAGAAGAAACTGGGAAAAGCAGGAAAAAATGAGAAGAAATGGGGCCTTTCCTTGATAAATTGTGAGTAGCAGGAGGTTTCACAATTAATACCTCAAGTTTTCTGAAAATAATGGGAAAGATCTTTGGGCATTTGTTTAATACAAAAAGCATTGTTAGTAACTTTGGTAGTGGGCAAGTCATGATCTTTGAGCTCAGTGACCTTTTAGCGTTACATTTAAGTCTTTTGTTAACTTTGTTTCTGAGCACGTGCTGAGATTTTTAGTAACAGCATGGGCTTACAAAGAACAAATCATGCTGAAGCTAACCTTATTTTCTTTTTTGATAGTGCAATATTATTACCTCTATCCAAGGTTGAGCCTTGATTGTAGTATTTGTGAATCTAAGCAAGATATTCATCAATCTGGTTTGGTATACATGAGTCAGAAAGGCAGGTCAGATGACAGGTGCAATTCTCGCTGATTAATAACTTTCCTTGAAAGGTGTGCGGTCATGGATTAATTTTTCTGTAAATGTTGAAAATGGGTTTCTAATAATATGATGCACGGTTCTGTCTTTATCCTGTTCTATTCAGTACTTTTATTGTGACTTGTGTAAAAGTATGAGGTATTCTTGTCAAAGTTATCAATACATCAACCTAGGAGAAATATTAGATGATAGAATTAGAATCTAAAAGATTCAGCATGCTGATATAATCTAAAGTTTGGTAGAGTTAATGTGAAGTCCTAACCCTGGGTTCCAGAGGATAGTGATTACTTGTTTTTCAGGCCATACTTAGAGAGTTGAGTATATGACTAAGAAGTCTTTTAGGGCTGGCCCAGTGGCGCACTGCTACAGTGCGCCGCTTGGGAGCGTGGCGGCACTCCCGCCGAGGGTTCGGATCCCACATACAGACCGGTTCCCGCTCACTGGCTGGGCGAGGTGCGGGCGCAGCGCCGAGGGTTGCGATCCCGTTGCCGGTCCCGGTCCGGTACGGGCGCGACACTGAGGGTTGCAATCCGTTGCCGGTCACAAAAAAAGACAAAAAGGAAAAAAAAAAAAAAAGAAGTCTTTTAAACCAAAGTCTGCAGTGTCAGAGATTTATTTGGATGGTCATTCAAAGGAGCCTGTGGTAGCTAAAGGAGCTTTAAGAGCCTGGACTTCCCAATACCTTAGAATCACAAGCATTTATAGAGCAGAATCATGAGTGGGGGGTCCTGGGAGTTGCTTGGGAAGCATATTTGATTTGGGTTGAAGTCAGCACAACTATTCCTGGCATCTTTACTGATATTTTACATGGCTTAAGGTCCAGGGTATATGTGCTTCAAAGCAAGTTTGGAGTTGCAGGTGGACTGGAGAAATAACTCGAGATTGGTGTTACAGATATTGTCTTAAGCCATAAAGCATTCAGTTCAGGAACAAATATTCTGACCTTCACATCAGGTCTTAGCCTAAGGAGTAAACAGCCTGACCTCCAGATCAAGTCAGCCTAAGGAAGTTTATGTTTAATCAACTCTACTCCTATCTTATTATTGCTGCTGCTAGGAATCTAGCTTGTCTTGCCTGGTCAAGTGGTTTTTCTTTAATAGTCTCCCCTTTTCCCCAGCTAAGGTCCACTCTGACACGAGTCAGAGGAGGAATAGCAAGGGGAAATTGGGGGGAACTGTCCTCCAGTTTCAATAAGAACCTCAATATGAGTCTAAAGTTTGATGTGGTTATGTTGTGAGGCTGCTGCATGGAAAAGGAACCAGAATACCCAATTGAGAATTTAAAAGGGGGGTTTTATTGGCCAGCTGGCGACTTTCCCTCCAAGAAAAGTCTTGGAAGGGAACAGCCCTGAGGTTAAGTTTAAGGGGTCTTTTGAAGGCACATTTTTACATTAGTTACACAGTTAAAGTTATCATATAATCACACACATTCCCTCCTAGTGTGAGGAGGGAGGGGTAGGCCTCGTGCAAGCTGATAACAGAAACGGAAAGAAGCCAGTTAATCACTTAGGGACAGCAAAGACTTTCACAGGGCGGTTTCCTTCTTAGGTTGTCTAGATATATCAAGATACAGCTCTTGGTTTTATCAGTCAGGGACAGCATAGGTGGGAAATAGCAAAGGCAGGCTAAAATTTAGCTTTTAACTTCTATGGGGAGGGGCTGAAGAGCCGAGGGGGATTATTAAACAATAGCATTTTTTAAGCAATTCAAACACTATTTAAACTTAATCTGTCTTGTCACACGGCAAGCAGTCTCTGCGGTCACCTTATCTCAGTTGCTAAAAAAGTTAATGCAATCTTGCCTGTGTTACGTAAACATAGTATCCAGAACAATTAAGGTAATGGTATTTCTATACGATAGTGTTTTGTTCTTGGCCTCACAAATTATGAGATATGGATGGAAGGTAGTCAGGCTGGTAGGGAGGTTTGGACACTACATCAGGTGAGGAATTGTTGAATAAATTTGAGAGATCTGTTCCTAAGAAGGGAAGACTTAATGCGATATTGTTATTATTTTTGAAAATTTAAAAGGGAGTCTTGGGTGATATTTTGGGCGTATTACACATAGTTTCAGCGGCTAGAATCAGAGTTAATGTGTAGAAGTTACCAGGATGCAGATCTTTGACTCAGTCCAGGGAAGAACTTGCTCAACCATGAAATGTACCACCTTGGTGAGATATCAAGCTGTCCATCACTGCAAATAGTCTGACAGGGGCTATGTGACAATGTAGTCATAGATATTGCCGAGGGGAGCCCTGCATTGGGTGAAAGATCAGAATGGATGGCTTTCTAAAGTCCTTTTCATCACTGGCATTCTTTCAATGTTTGTTTACATACAGAGATATTATGACTATATGTCTGTGTACATATTTTCACCCACGCATAATAGATTGTTATTCTCTACGTTTGTCTGTGCCCCCTCTTATCCAAAATTTTATCTGAACTCACATTCTCTCATTAGTTAACTTCACAATATACTCCAGTGGTTCTTTCACCTCTTATCTTCCCGAAATTTAATTTTTGGTACGATATTATTTTTGACTTAAGTTAGTAAATATTCTTCTTATGAATTAAACATTTTTCCTAGTGCCTTAATTTTTAAATTGTGAAATATAGCATATATTCAATAGTGTATGAAAACTTACATGTTTGGTTGAATGCACAAAATGAAACGAGCTTTTGTGAATCCTACCTCCTAAGCCAAGAAACAGAATTTTATGAATACTTTGGGGACTGCCCCCATGTCCCTCTCCAGTTGTGTCTTTCTCCCATCTACCTGGTATGTTGCATTTTGCAAATATAATTTCATTGCTGAGAATATTGCCCTGCCGTGTTCTCTTGACTCTTTCTGGAACTCCGGTTAGATTTTTATCAGGTCTTCCAACTCTGTCCTTCATGTCTCTTTTCATCATATGTTCCATTTCTTTACTCCCAACTATGGTCTGGGTAATTTCCTCTGACTCATCTTCCAGTTCACTAATTCTCCTTTAGTTTATCTAATCTGCTGTTAAATCTGCCCATACATTATTTATGGAAGTTCTGTTTGGTTCTTTTTAAAATCTACTCTTTCTGCTTATTATGGTATTTTATTTCCTTGTTTTTTGTGGGCATGTGAATGAGTGTGTCTGTCTGTGTGTGTGCACTGCTTATATTTCCCAGGACTGCATCTGTGGAAAATCATTGAGGCCTAGGATAAAATAGGATTTCTCCAGAGAAGATTGCATTTACTTTTGTCATTTGCCTGGGACTCCTTCCAATCTTTGACCCCTTAAAGTGAATTCAGGGCTTGAGGTTTTTTAGAACAACCAAGTAGTGTTTTAAGTTTTTACCCATGTGAGGACTAGCTTGTGATTCTAAATTCTCAGGGGAGATGTTTTTCTTCTCTCTCTCCAATGTCTTGGCTCAGGGCAGCATTAAAAAAAAACAATGATAGCAAAACACAATCCCTTTGAAATATGGCAACTTACTTCCAGTTTACCCTCAGGCTGAGGGGTGTAGGTTTTTGAGGTTCTAGTTTTTATAGGGTCTCTAGACTCCCCACCTTAGGTGAGTCAGTGTTCTTTGTGTCCTGTTCCCACAGGCCTGCAAAGCCAGAAAGTTGATAATTGAATTTACCCAGTGTGGCAAATGCCTTCAAGGTAATGGCTGTAGAGAACTCAGTTGATTTTTCTCTATGCCTGTCTTCATTTAACTTTTGTCCTGAATATTCCTAGCTTTCTTACCAACTTATGAATGCATTTAAGAGAATGTTTTAAAATGTCTTATCCATCTTCTTTGGTTGTTTTCAGTGGGAGGGTTAGTACTAAGTTTTTATAGTTCACCATGTAGCTGGAAACAGGAGAGTCTGTTTTTTACTTTTATTTTTCTATTCCCAATTGTGTTTACTGTTCTTGAGAGGAATGACCATGCCTTGGAGTTCCTTGACCTTCCCCATAGTATAGTACTTAGTGTTCAGTGGACAGTCAGTTAAATAGGTAGATGTATAGATGTATATAGAAAACACTTTGAGGGTTTTCCTTTTTGCATATTTCATATCTATTATATTTTTTAATCTTCCCAATTATTTTGTAAGGGTAGGTATATTATTACCTGTATTTACAGATCAGTAAACTAAGACCTAGAGGAACAATCTGGGCACAAATCCTGCAATTTTTAGGGTGAGGATTTAGATTCATGACCTTCGATTCCTAGTTCTGTGTCCTTTCCACTGTTCCAACTTGCTTTTAAATTAGTGTTGTTGACATTTGACATCTCCTGATTATTTTAACTAGATGTGAAAATATTAGAGAAACCACTGGATTAATAACATGTGGATGAAATTATCTCTAAGTCCTCACCTGAAAGAAATTTTTAGCTGAGTGTTCACTTTGCTTAAGCTTTCATTCGTAACTTAAAACAATGTAGTGTCTTCTGTTACAGGAAGCAGAAAAAAAAAAGAATTGCTCTTTTTTGCTGTTGCATCATTGTGAAATACTTTTATTGTAAAATATGGGTAATTTTTGTGTCTTCTAACAGGTGTGTATGTAATATAGATTGCAGCGGATACAGTTTTAATCCTGTGTGTGCTTCTGATGGGAGTTCCTATAACAATCCCTGCTTTGTTCGTGAAGCATCTTGTATAAAGCAAGAACAAATTGATATAAGGCATCTTGGCCATTGTACAGGTAAAATCCATTCTACTCATCCAGAGACCTGCCTTTAAAGTTATATGTCTGTAATCTTATTTGTACATTTTGATAGTGTTCCAAATTTGCAAAATGATAAATCCTTGAAGCTTTATTTTTCTTTTGTTACTTCATATTTCAGAATATGTAGTTTTCTGTTAATAATTTAGATATTTTTTTTCATTTGTTTTCATCTTCTGAAGATGTAAACCATGCTTTTTGGTTGTTTAGTTACTATGTTGATCCCAACATGGAATTGTAGATATATTTAAAGTTATAAGGTGATCTCAAATTTGTAATGATTATTGCTGTTTAAGAGTTAGTCAACTTATTTTGATTACAGTAGAATTATCTATAAGTGTTGCCATATATTTCTAAACCTTTTCTTCTAGAGCATAATAATTTATTTTCATATTATTTCTTTGTGGTTTTTTCCTGTATGTATTATGTACTGTTATAGATTTTGGTTTGAGGTTAAAGAATGTGAAGAAAAATTATTACCTTCTGTTTAAAATTCTGTTTGCCCTTTTTGCTTTTTGTTATTGTTTAGGAACCATGATACCATATAAATATGAGTTTTTGTTTTCCACTTTAACTAGAAACATCCACAATAACTAAAGCCAGAGGTTCTCAATCTTCTTTCCTCAGTAATACCCACATGGGCTGGGATAATGGATCATTTCCTCATTAACACTCGTGGGTCAGGCACATTCTCATGCACTAGGAGTGTATATCTTTCCTGCTTACTAGTCCTCCCCTCTTTTCTGCCATACTTCTGCCCTTTTTTGGACTTTTTAAAGGGATAAGCTTTTATCTGAGCTAAGAGAAAAAGGTTGTAAGCCAAGGATTTGTAGTTTATATTGGTAACAAATTATTTGTGACACACTGTGCAGCGAATTGTGATACTTCTGGTCTAAGCCACCAAAGTAAGAAGCTCATCAGAATATTTCCAGGTAGAGGTTAGGTGTGGGCTGATAGAGGAAACCATTTGCTGACACTTAGTTTTGATCTTGAAGAAATATAGTTTGATTTTATTTCATGGGGTGGGTGGCATTTAGAGCTTAGGTGGGAAGACTAGCTCGGAGAAAGAGTATCTTCTCTGAGGAACTGGTGCATATTTGAATGGTACTCGCTGGAATTTCAGGTTCAGAGCAGTTGGCCTAACGAGAATTTTAATTAAAATTCATGCAGATTTAGACTTGTTTGGAGTGGTTGGTCATTAAGTTTTATCTTAGTCTCCTTTAGAATTTTTCTTCCACACCTACCTATACCTTCCCTTTGCCTCCCCTGCTATGTATTGGGAAGCTGAAGCTTGTGCTTCTGAACAGGTGTTTATGGTTCATTTATAGTCTTCCTAATTTATATATAGATGCAACTCACAAATCAAGGGTCATTTTTTACAGTAAATGTTTGATAACATAGCTGAGATTCCATATTTACCTTAATCTGATATTTCTAGGGAAGCAGTGGTAGGAGAAAAATTTGAGGCCATTGTCCCTTGAAGAAAGGGTTAACCTTTTCTCCTCAGGACATGTGTTAACTTTAGTTTACACAAGAAAGACTTTTAAAGGAGGTGACATCTAAGCTGAAATACAAATGAAATCAGACTGTTCATTATGCAAAGAGCGTATATATCTGGGTGCCTTGAGGCCTGAGACAGAAATGGCACAGTTGATCCAAGAGGACGGTGGAAAATGTGAGCAGGATAAGTGGACAGAGTTATGAAGGACCTGAAGCCTTTGGAACAATTGGGAGTTTCATGGTGTGTATCTTAATTTGAAAACTGTTTTCTTTTATAGACACAGATGATACCAGTTTGTTGGGAAAGAAAGACGATGGACTACAATATCGACCAGATGTGAAAGGTACTGAATCATGATTTTTCAAATTTTTGGCCAGTCATTAAGCCCTTGAATATGGTCACTATCTGTCCTTAGTAGTTCTTTCTCTATTATAACCCCCACAATTTTGCACTCTGTAGTACTGCCCATTATATAGTTGATTATTAGTATTAATATTAACTGAAATAGCTGTTAATATTAACTGAAATATTAACAGTTGATTATTAGTATTAATAGAAACAGCTAATTACACTCTGTAGTAATACCCATTATACAGTGGATTATTAGTATTAATATTAATAGTCAGGGCCGGCCCAGTGGCGCACTGGATAAGTGCGAGGCGCGGGAGCAACACCGAGGGTTGCAATCCCGTTGCCGGTCCCCGGTCCGGTACGGGGGCAACACTGAGGGTTGCGATCCGTTGCCGGACACGGAAAAAATGAATAATGACTTTCATGAGAGTACAAAAGACACACATTAAAATGAGTCAATATGTAAGTAAGTAAAGTCAATAAAAATTGTCTGGGATGTATTAAATACTCTATTACTTCTCTGTTACATCAACAACAATATTACCATTGAATGTAGGAAGATCAAATATATTATGACAACCATCAAACACATCAACAACAGCACAGCTTTTCTCACTTTACATGATAAAGTTCATGGGCTTCCCAGATGAGTTTCCACTCATACCTCTATCCCAACTCACATACATTTCTTATAGCCATAACATACCTTTTAAGATAAAACCAATTTTATTTTTAAAATCATTGAATTATTTAAAACATAACTTGTTATAAAGATCTAAGGAACATCACTGTAAATATCATAAAGGATTACAACTTTCCCTTTTGTTAATTTTTTTGTCATTTAGTTTTAAGATATAGGTGTATGTATGTGTGTATATATATATATATATATATATATATATTAATAGTCACCTTCAGTTTACAGAGTGCTCTTCTATATGTTTCTTTTTGAATTGGAATTTTTATTGAGATTATTGTAGATTCACATTCAGTTGTAAGAAATTATATAGAAAGATCCTTCATATATGCTTTTAAAATCATCCTTCTCTAGAATCTACTGTTAACCCTTGCCCTCTGTGCCCAGGTCTTTGAACCTTGTTCTCTGCCTGGAACTCTTTACTACTTTGCCTGACTAACTCCTTCCCATCCTCTTCGTCTCAGCTTAGAAGTCATTTCCTTTTGGGAAGTGTTCCTTGATTCTTTGATCTAGATTAAGTACCTCTCTTAAATACTCTCCTATCAGAGCACTTAACCTACTCTGTTATAATTGCCTTGTTTTACTCATCTGTATCCCCCTCTTGCTGTGAGTTCTATGAGGACAGGAGACCGTATCTGTCATGTTCACTTTTGTATCCCTAACACCTAGCAGAAAGTCTGGCACATAACTAGGTGCTTCATACTTGTTGAAAGTGGATGTGGCTCCAAGAAGCTGTAGGATTTATTTACACAGAAGTCTCACGTGTAGCAACAGTCAGAGACTGGATTTCAGGTCCCTTTACCTTAAATCTGTTGCTCTTTCACACTTGTTTTTATATGCAAAACTTTATTTGATTTTTGCAATTATTTTAGTAAGAAGAGTACTCAACCAGTGGGGACATTGGGGATCAATGAGGTTGTATCTAGTTAACTGAAGTAGGTCTAGATGATCAGGACTTTTATATAATTGCTAAATGCAAGTGTATCTTCTATCCATTTGTTTGCTTATAGTAATGGACATTTTAAAAACGATGTGTGATTTTTTTATGTCTATTTTCTTAAATATGTAAAGTAGCAATGATACTAATACCTATCTCATAGAATTTCATGAAAATTAAATAAATTAAATACATATCAAGTGTTTAGAATAGTGCCTGACATATTGGTAAGTGCTCAATAAATAACTGGTATTATCATTGAATAATTCACTACTCCTCTTAAATTATATCAAACCTGAGTCAGTCGTAACTCACGAGCCTCTGAAAACCCAGTTTCCTAGGTTGATATGAAGTGCTGTATTTAAAATAGGAAATCTCTTGTATTCCCATAGGAGACATAATAGATCTGCCCCAGTTTTATTCCCTATAGTGATAGTACATGTATACAACAGGGAGGCTATTTTTTAGTATTTAGAAACTCATTCTTAAGGCAATTTGGGTAATAGTATATGGCCAAAACACTTTTTTGCTGTTGATAAAATCACATGGATAATTTAGTGCCTAGGCTACTTTTGAGATCCTGAAAATTCTTTACCCGTAGAATTGATCTATAACTTAAGTGAAATTATTATAATCAGTAGGTCTAATTTACTACATGTCTAATTTATACTAGTCGTTATACGAGACATTGTTTGAAGATAGAAAGATATCTAATACATGATATACATCTTTAAGGAGCTTGTGATAGAAGAAGAAATGCATATAACCAAATCTGACAAAGTAAAAACTGGCTATTGTCATAAATACAGTTCAGTAAAAATGTGCAACGGGAATTTAGAAAAGATGAGATTTTTCTTTGGTGTGTGACAGTGAAGATCTGAGAAATGCCATGGAAGAATAGAATTTGAGTGAGCCTTGAAGCATGGTTAGGATTTGAACAGGAGTCAAGAGGATATTTAAGGAGGATAGAAGAGCATGGACAGAGACGTGAACAAAACATTATAACAAGATTTATTGGAGAATGATAAGGAATCTTTTTTGGCTGGAGAGTTAGGAGGCTTAAGAGGTGGAAGTGGAAGGCAAGGCTAGAAAGATACCTTAGGGCAAGATAGTGTAGAGTCTTGAGCGCTGTGCTATCCTAGGGAATCTGGACTTTATTTGTGGGCAGTGGGGAATCATTAATATAATATATTTGAAAAAGGCAAGGTTACAAAGTTAACCGTTTGAATGGATGATGCCTGGCAGGAACATTGGGCTTATTGTATACGTTGGAATGAAGGCAGAGAGATCAGTTAAGTCGACTCAAAAGGAACAGACATCTACTAAGATAGGAGAGATGGAGAGTTAAAAGTAACTAAGACTTTAAGCTCAGATGACTTGGATGATGGATTCTGTTTATAGAACTAAGGATGTTGTCAGGAGAAAGGTGTTTGGAATAAGGGAAGGGAGGGAGTTGATGATGGAAGTGATTAATTGTATTTTGGAGTTTGAAATGCGTGTGAAACTCATCCAGGTGACTTTGTTCAACATATATTTGTGAGTCAGTCTTTGGATATAGAAATAACCCAAGTCATGAGAATGAGTGTTGTTTCCATCAGTTGGTGACTGTTGTTTATGTATTTCAATCAAGATCTATTAATGTGCCCTTTTAAAATGGTTACGACAAGTGTGCCTCATCAGAGGTAAGACTGTGAGCTAGGTGCTAACATCATTGAAGGAGATCTGAGAGCGTGTGTCATGAAGCATAGTAGAGTCATGATGAGGATGGTTAGCAGTCTCTTGAGAGAGGAAGACGTTGGGAGATGAGAGTGGGGTGCTGGCCTGGAAGTGACAGTGGCATGTGCATTGGGGAAGCTGGAACGAAGGGGTCTGGGAAGTACTGTGGTCTTGGTACCTTAGGAGGTAGATATTGGTACCTTAGGTTACCAACAATGAAACTAGGGTACCCTAAGGGTATTTTCAAAGGGACTAGTTGAGGAGGTGGATGAGTTTATTCACATTAGAAAAGCTGTTTCTCTGGCAGAGTGGGGAGGTTAGGAAAGAAAGGGTCTGGGTTGGTGTAGAGAACTGTGGGGTTTAGAAATGAGAAAGTAGGAGGTGTTGGAGAGTGGGTAAGGAGTTTATACCCAGGTAGATAATTCCTTAATGAGGTCTGACAAGACTGAGGTTAGGGAAGGATGTATGGAAAGATACATTAGTGATGAAGGTTGGTGGGTACAGGATAGTATAGGGGAAGCAAGACAGAATATTTCGAATTAACTATAGAGATTTGTAGAAATAAGGAGCTTTATAGTTACTGATGCAGTGTTAATGTAGTTGTGGCCTCAGCAGTTTACCTTCCAGGTGCATGTCTCAGTTGCTAATAGCACCTCCTCTTTCTTTATTTGGGTTGTATACTGATAGGCCAGAACAGATAGCCAGTGGAACAAGCCTTTGCAGAGAAGCCATCTGGTGATGGGTTTTCTTATGGCATCATCCCTTAGAACTATACTCTCCTTTGTATCTGAAAACTGCTGCTGGTGGTAGATTTGTTTCTGAATGCTTCCGTGGGTGGAAGGAGCCACTGGGTAACCAAGTGTGCTTTTTACTTTGCGCGTGCGCGCGCGCACGCACACACACACACACACACACACACGCACACACACACACTGTTGAGATACTAGCAGTTGCAGCTGTGTCATTCATGGAGGCCCCCCCACCCCACTTGCCTAAGGGCATTGTTCAGACAGGAGCACTCTGTGTCCAGTTCTTACTGTGTGGAGGCTGTATCTCTGCCATGATTTCTGAAACCATGCTTTGTTACATCTTTAAAGCCTTTTTGTCTTTCTTTTTTGAAGTTGCCTAATTTACTTGGCTGAGAGAACAGGTGCTTGGACCTTCTTCTTTTGTCTGTTCCCTACACATGTCCCAGGATAGAGTGGGGAAATAATAGTGTAATGGCTAGGAGCTTGTATTCTGGAATCAGACTTGGTCTACATGTAAAAGCTGTGTGACCTGATTTCTGAGACTCAGTAATCACATCTGTAATTAGGAGCAGTAAGATTTACTGCCTAGGATCATTCTGAATATTAAATGCTATATTACTGAAGTCATTATCAATGCTATTATGGTTATTGCTAATACTTTTCTTTCCTAGTTTCATTGTTGGTAACCTGGTTATGCTCACAGGTCTCACCACTGGTGGGTTATCTATCTTGCTATTTAATATTACGGTTCATCAGTGACATCAGTAGGATGTTCATTCATTTAGCAATTACTAATCAAGTACCCTACTATGTGCCAGGTGTTTTCACATATGGTGTTATTATTTAATTCTCGTAAAAACCATGTTATTCTCATTTTGCATATGAAGAAGCTA